CCTTTATACATTGTGTGTACCTTGACATAGATGTATATTTGTTTTCTATGCATATATCTTTTAAATCATACAGAAAATAAAAAATTCCAAACCAAACACATACTAGCACTAGCTTTTATACTTACCTATTTTTTTAAAAAACAGAATAAAACCCACTGATTCCAACTCATAGCAACCATTTAGGAAAGAGTAGAACTGCTCCATATGGTTTCCAAGGCTGTAAATCTTTATGGAAGCAGACTGACTCATCTTTCTCTTGCTGAGCGGCTGGTGAGGCAGAACTGTCAACCTTTTGGTCAGCAGCTGAGTGCTTTAACCATTATACCTCCAGAGCTGCTTTTTCACCTATATAGATACCTTTAATGAGTTTTTGATTTCTTCATATGGCATTGAGTTTCTGTCTATTGTCTTTTCATTTCAGTCTAAAGGATTCCCTTTAACATTTCCTGTAGGGTGAATTTAGTGGTTATGAATACCTACAGCTTTGGCTACCAAGAAATATCTTAATTTTTCTTATATTTTGAAAAATAGTTGGTGCTTTCTTTCTCCCAATGTTTCTGTGAGGAGCTGGGAGCTGGGAGTTGCCCACTTCATCATTTTGCTAATGTCACTCCCTTCTCCATTTCTTTTAAGGTCATGGTCAGAAGTTGTACCTATATGTGTTATGCCCATTGGCCAGTATTTAGTCACCTGGACACTCCTAACAAATGGGAGACTAAGGAATATTGTATTTATCTGAGTTGTCATGTCATAGATGTGATCTTATTTTAGAAGATGGGGAATATGGATATTGGCGAACACCATTATTATCTGCCACAGCAACTTTCACTGTTCCCTGTGTCTCCTCAGCTTGCTTGTATGATTGCTAACACAGGGATACAATGGAGAATTCATCTTCTTTTTGTAGTGGAGTGAGGAAACATAGTTACTCAACAAAGCAACTTTATTTGAAATCTTTCTCTGTTTTAGTTATGGGAAAATACAGGAAGAAGGATTGCTGATGACATGAGACCCAGGGACTCAAACCACTGAGTTATTGCTTATTTTTCTGTAGTTCAGTTCATGTCCTATCTAGTCCTTTATAACTCCAGTTAGGTTTAGTTTCTTATTCATCCCTCATTCTAAGCTTTAAGTGGTTTAGGTGTGGATAACACAGGGTTTAGAAACAGGTATGTTGGGCAGTTCTGTAGAAGTCAAGGGGAGCAGTCGATCTCATTGCAAATAATACAACTGAGCTAAAAGTTTGAGACTATGGCCTCTTATGCATAAAGGGTCTCTTGGTCATCACTGGATTGTATCTGCTGGTTGAAATTTCTACACCTCATG